GAAAGGATGGGATTAAAACACCAGCTTCATTGGGAGAAACACATGGCATGGACAGTGGGAGCTTTTCATATCCCTTGGATCTAGTAGTCCATGTTAAGCAACATTAATCCCAGTGTTCCCCAGGCAAATAATGGAACATGATGCTTATATCACATTTCAAAGTGTTTTTGATGCGTTCTAACAAAGAAATGGGCAAAATGTAGCCTATGGAAGGTTGGTATTCCTCACAGATCTATATGCACTTTTCCAGGACAGCTGGGCACTGCAGGATCTGTCCACACATGCCCACATTTCCATTGAAAAAGAAAAGTAAATGTTTGCTTTAAAAGGTCCCCTTGGGCCCTCTAAGCAGTGTTAGAGCAATTTTGGCACTTTTTAGCGCCCTCAGTTGTTTGAGATTGTGTGTGTGTGTGTGTGTTTGTGTGTGTGAGTGAGTGAGTGAGTGAGAGAGACAGCAAGGGGGAGAGAGATGTACCATCAAATCAGAATCAACATATGGAGGGAGCCCCAAACAGAGCTTTCAATGTAAGTGACGTATTTAAGGAGTGGTTTTACCAATGCCAGCCATTTCTCCTGCAGTGAGTTCCCATGGCCAAGCAAGCATCCAAACTCAAATCTCCTGAGTTCTCTCATCCATATCTCTATTCACTACTCCACATTAGGCATTTTGGATGTGGATTTTTTTAAAAAAACATACACCAGAAGTTACAGAGAACAGTTCTGTAGTAGCGAAAGGGCATGTCTGCTTCTTGTAACCACTAGAAGGTGCAAGGCATCTTTTTTTAATTTAAAAACAAAACCCTTAAGAGTTGGGAGACAACTGAACAGATAAAGCCTTCCAAGCCACTAGATCTCTGGAAGTTGCCCACCTCTGCTCTAACACCAAGGAGCACTACTTGAGCTTCTCTCTCCCCTCCCCTGCCAAATGTCACATTCTTGAAGGCTCTGTTCCACCTACTTCCTACTGAATCCATCTTCCATTATTTTAATGGCCATTTTAGTTATTGCTGTTTTGCCTAAACGTTTCCTGGGGGAAAGAATCGTTAGCCGCTTTTCAAAATATACATTGGCAATTGCAGCACAATAAACAGCAGGTTGTACATACCACACTTAGTGTTCAGGCACAAGAACTGGCCTAAACACACACACTACAGACAAGATACATCCAGCCATCTGTTCCATAATGTAACTTCCAGTGGTTCTCAGAAAGGCAGCTGAATACAGAGGAATTGTAACTATTTCAACATACACTACACATTCTAGCATTCCCCAAAGTGCAATAAATAAAGAAATAAGATTAAACAGGGACAGTTAATATCCAGGGGAGAAGTACAAGAAAATTGGGATAGACCCTCAATGTAGTAGACTCCCCCCCCCCAGTCTTACTCATCACCACAGCAGACCTTCAAGATCTCTGTGATTTGCATTTTTCAGGGCAAGAACTAAGAAACTAAGGGCTCTATGCCACTGGCAATAAAACCTGGATTCTGCTGGGGGGGGTAGATAAGCAATTTAAATTTAAGTGTACGCACAAGGCATGTGAACATGCAGACTACTGTGCCACGGAAATGAATTTTTCTGCTCCTCTGACAAAGGTCTGTTTATGTTGCAACAGACATGGAATCACTTCCTTGTATGTGAACTCTGCTGCCACTTTTTAAAAATTTCTGCTATCTGATACTATACTGTACTAGATAGCAGGAATTTTTAAGATAATAAATAAAAGCACCACACAAATAAAAGCCGATGCCTGTCCAATCACTTGTATCCCGCACTCACTTAATCCTTATTCTCACCCCTTGGCCCCTTTCTCTCTCCTTCTCTTCTCCTTCCATTTTCCCTGTCCACCAGCCCAGAGTGAGGCTCATTCATTCCCTTGCTCCCTTGCCCCCCAATTGCCCACTCACTCCGTTTGCTCCACTACTCTTCGCCCACCTCTCACTCACCTGTCCCCACACCTTCCCTGTCCCTTTCCACCCATTTCCCTCTCACTCACTCTGTTCTCCCAATCCCCATTGCTCTTCCCCTCATTCACTTCCCCCCCCACTCTGCTCTTCTCACTCAGCCACCCCTCACTCCCTTGTTCCTACGCCTTCTCCCCCTCACCGTTGCCCCTTCTGTCCCTTTCCACCCCTTTGCCCTCTCCTCCCCCTCCCCCTCTGTTCTCCCCTCTCAGTTGAGCAGAGCTACCTGATCTTCCAAGGTGGTACCAGAGGCAGGAGAAAGGCGGCGTGGGAGTAGCAGCAGCAGCAGAGAGCCTGAGATAGCAGTGGTATTAGTGAGGATGCACACACCAACACAAAGGGGTTGGATTCTGGCTAAAGTCCATGTGGCGTTAGCTCGAATACCAAAAATTTGATCCCTCTGCCATGGGAACAGGCCCTAAGCCACAGGCCTGTCTGTTATTAATTCCATGGCCAATATATGAACTGCTTAGCAATTCCTCAGCTTACTTGCATTTAGAACTGCTCAAGTTAATACGTAAATTATTTGAGCTATTTTAATTAATGGTTTTGTTCTATTGTTTTATAGCTTTCTTTATTGTTTAGATAGATAGATAGATAGATAGATAGATAGATAGATAGATAGAGAGAGAGAGAGAGAGAGAGAGAGAGAGAGAGAGAGAGATAAAATGTGGGATGCAAGACCTGGAGTGTTGGGTGGAAAGTAGAAGCATTTATCTTTATCCTGCTCTATTATCTTGTCACCCCAAACCACCTTTGCTAGAGTTGATTCTGTGGATGTGATGACCTGGGAAAAACACACTCAGGTAGGCCGCCGCCTTTCTGGGTGAGCCCTGTTGAGGTTACCTGGCACCAGCAACCAACAAACAGCCACATCAGGTGACAGACAGCGACTACCCTAATTCCCCATCATTCCCCAGTGACACCATGCTGGCGCATTGCTGGATTCAGATGCCTGATATTCTGTAGCACAGTGGGATTAAAAATACTTTCTTTCTTTCTTTCTTTCTTTCTTTCTTTCTTTCTTTCTTTCTTTCTTTCTTTCTTTCTTTCTATCTATCTATCTATCTATCTATCTATCTATCTATCTATCTAAAGCTAAAACCAGTAGACACGTTTAAAAGGGACAAACAAGTCCTATACTGTACTAAAAAACGGTAAACAAAGGGAACAACAAAAAACACATTCAAAGAAGTACACAACATTAAAAGAATATTTAAAGCTAAAACCAGTATACACACATTTAAAAGGGACAAACAAATCCTATACTAAAAAACGGTAAACAAAAGGAACAACAAAAAACACATTCAAAGAAGTATGGCACAACAATCCATTAAAAAACCCTATTCAGGCAGCCAGCCACTAAGGGAAAGCTTGCCTGAAGAGAAAGGTCCTTGCTTGTGGAAAGACAGCAAAGAGGAGGCTAGTCTGGCCTCCTATGGGAAGGAGTTCCGCAGCCAAGAGGAGGCTAGTCTGGCCTCCTATGGGAAGGAGTTCCAACGTCTGGGAGCAGTGACTGATGTCCCCACCAAATGCCGCTGCGAAAGTGGCGAGATCAAGAGAAAGGCCTCTCCTGATGCGACTGATGTCCCCACCAAATGCCGCTGCGAAAGTGGCGAGACCAAGAGAAAGGCCTCTCCTGATGATCTTCACACCCAGGCAGCCTTATAAAGGGAGACACAGAGGTCAGTCCTGGGCTCCGTGTGCGGGCGAGGGCCCTCCAGCTGCCGCTCAAAGGTTCCAGATGCTGACACCAGCCCTGGCCATTGCCAATTGTGCACTGTTTGTCTTTTCAGTAGGCTCCCTGGGGAGTCACACAATACACTCTTACTGCCTGGGTAATAGTGTACGACAGGTCACCTTGTTTTATGAGCCAGGCAAGCAGTATAGGAATGGGAAGCATCTTTCCTAGACATTGCCCTTAAATACCACAAAGGAGGACAGGTACACACACAAAGGAAAGACCTGGCTCTCTTCCCTTCCCTTATTTTTGTCTTCACTGTCCACATGGCATCTCTTCCCCCCCCCGCCCCCAGGGCACAGATCTCATCTTTCCCAACATCTCCCTATCGGCCTCAAAGCAAACCCAACAGCAATACCTCAGAGGGGTGGCCCCTCTATCCCTATATGTTGAACAAACCGGGTCTTCCTCTCCCCTCCCTCGTCTTCCATGGGCCAAACACTTTGACAGCCGGTTCTGTGACTCTCTTCTCAATGCAGAAACCACCCTAGCTGCTCACTCTTCCCCGGGCATGCAGTGCAATGCCTGCCACAAGACCCGAAACACCCGTTACCTCCTCAGACAATTAAAAAAGACAAAACAAAGCAAAACACCGCCATGCAGATAACAACCCCGCCATCCGACATGCAGCCTTATAAACAAAATCATCATTGCTCAGCATTCAGGGTTGGGAGGGGGCTTTTGCAGGCAGACCTTCTGCCGAGGCAGTTTTCTTTTGTCTCGTGCAAATACACACACATCTCCCAGGCCCTCCAATCATCATCTCTACGAGCCAACTGTACACAGATATGAATGACCCACCTGTACACAACACGTATCCCTTCTCACACGGCCGGGCTGCATACTCAGAAAATGAAAAACATCTGCTCTGTGACACAACTGATGCCTCCGCAATCCACAGGCAAGGAGGAAATTATGTCTTCCTCCTTCCACACTGGCAAGCATTTCTCACAAGCATGTCCATGTCTTGAGACACAGAGACAGCACCTCTTGGCAATCACTGCCTAGTTCAACAAGCACCATCCACGCGCACGTAGGCAACTGTACTATCACAACCCCCCCCCTTTGCAAGTGTCAAGATTCTTGCTTCCACCTCAAGGCACCAAGCAGTTGTTTCCCCAGGGACAGAGCATGGGGCGCTCAAAAAAGGGCCACTCTCATCCTGGCCTTTCGTAGCCGCAGACAATAGGCGAGGGCTGCTCAAAATCCCCTTGCACACGAGCAATCTCCGCTCCATCCCTCCCTCCACACCCTCCCCCAACAGCCACCCCACCATGATGCCAACCAAGACCCACCTGGATGTAGCAGCACCTCTGCTTTTAGCTCAGCGTCCCATCCGAGAGGCCAAAGTGATGGCAAAGAAAGGAGAAAGCAAACCTCCAAATCTGTGCGACGGGGATCCGCCGGCAGCTGCCTGCCTGCCTTGACAGCAGGAGAAACACAGGGCTTATTTTCCCAGCCACTCCACGGCTGCCTCCCCTCTCTGCAGAGAGCTTGGACGAAAGCAGTAGGCTCAGCCTCCCTCATCAATATGCATCAGCGCCAAGACACTGACACCGCCATCAACAAACACCGTCCCTTGGAATCCAGATGCCAGGGCCTTTCTAAGGACACTGGAGCCAAGGCACTCAGTGGGGGTGGGAGGCTGGCCTCTGAGCTCACAAAGGGCAAGGGCTTTGGGGAAAGGAGGCTTGGGAAGGAGGCTGTTAATTCCTTCCCCCACCCCAGTGCCCCTATCCACCGCCCAGCCAAGTCCCAATGGCTTTTTGCTCCCAATCAGATGGCGTTATAGCAATACAAAGGGACGTTCTTAAACAGTGCTAGAGCAGAAGCATCTGCTCCTAATGAGGCTATTCCAAGACTGGGGGAATGTGCCACTCACCCTGCAGGGATGCCATGTTGTCATGCCATCTGCTCTGCAGCTTCCCAAATATATATATATATAACGAGAAAGATCAGGGCTAGGAGCTGGGGGCCTGTAAACACTTTTGGGAAGCCAGCTCTGCTGGTGACACTCTTTTGTTCACGGAGATAAAACATCTGCAGCCAAGGATTGGACTCGAGTGTTTTTTTTTTGTATTGAACACTTTGTCTCTTTGCTTTACAAAAAAGACAAACCAATAAAATAATAGGTACTCACAGAGCCTGCTTCAATTTTCTTCCCAGAACACACCAGTGGAGTCTGTGTTCTACAATGACACTGCAATGTCAGATTCTTGTAAGAAAGCCATCATCTCTAGTTCCCGAGATACATGTCTTGTCTTGTCTTTCAAGCTTCTTTTGGATCCCAGGAACTGCTTAACAGTTTACATTATTTTGTCTTATTCTTATCTTGCAGGTCACACACACTCTTTCTGCTCAGCACAAGCCTGTATTAAGCAACATTGTAAGAGAATCTAAAAAAGGACATCGGAGATACAGAATGTCTCTTTTGTTGAGGCAGAAAATTAGCATTTATAGGCACACCAAAACCTTAGAGCAGTGGTCCCCAACCTTGGGACTCCAGATGTTCTTGGACTTCCAACTCCCAGAAATCCTGGCCAGCAGAGGTGGTGAAGGCTTCTGGGAGTTGTAGTCCAAGAACATCTGGAGGCCCAAGGTTGGGGACCATTACCTTAGAGGACACAGCCCTTAATAACTGGTCTTCAGACTGGGACAGTATGAGTGGATGTACACATGTGTATGTGTATCGAAGAAATGAAAGAAATGGTAGCAGTTCCATGGATACAAAAAAATGTTGTTGTGCCAAAACTCTAAATAGACAAGTGTAACACAGAAGTCCCACTGTTCCTGCATTCCCTCAAAGAAGCTGAAAAACAAAACAAAAACAAACAAAACAGGGACTACAGCTGATTGTTCCAGCATTTCAAAGGGTTTCAATGCCAGTAAAAGATGCTGCAGTTACTTTTTAATGCCATCTTCAGTATCCTTTTGGGTACAGCTGAGCAACTTTTGTTTCTTAATCAAAGAATAGGAATGGAGTCTGTGCCGGGTGGCATTACCATTCTTCTGAGAACACAGGTGTGCAACTTGGGTGTGTTCCTGGATTCATCAGTGCACAGGTTTCAGCAGTGGCCAGGAATGCCTTTGCACAATTAAAACTAGCGTGCCAGCTGCGCCCATTCTTGGAGAAGGTCTAATTTGGCCACAAGAGTTACAGCCTGGCTGTATTACTGAACACATTCTGTGTGTGTACAAGCCCACCCAGGTGTTAAGATCATCAGAGGAGGCCTTTCTTTCAGTCCCACCACCCTGGATAAGAGTTTCCTTTCAGTAGAGTGCCTACGGCACTAGGGCATCACTCAGAGCAATATCCTCTCTGTCCAGGGCCAAAGAAGAGGAAAAGCCGCTCCAGAGCTGTTCAGCTGTGAAGGAAGGAATGTCCCTTCAAAAGTTCAGGGCCTGGACCCAATATTTAAGTCTAAACATACATGCTTACTCAGCAGTAATTCCACTGTGTTCCGTGGATCTTTCATCCTTGTGTTTAGATCAGTCACTTCCAATCTGCCACCCTCCATATGCGTTGGATGAAAGTTCCCATCATCCCCAAACATCTGGCCATGGATTACAACATTATAATTATTTGCTGCTTGTAGCATTCTTTGCTTGTGATGCAGTGAGGGGAAAAAGCTAATATGATTCTAGGCTGCATCCACAAAAGCATTCAGTGGAATGAGTCAGTTCCACCATATTCCACTTTGACCAAGCCGAAGGATGTCAACAAGCTGCAAAGTGGCCAGCAGAGAAGATGAAGATGGTAGAAGGCAGGGGTCTCAAACTATGGCCTGCAGGCCACATCCAGCCCACCTTGTCTTTTTATCTGGCCTGAGCATAGGAAGAGGAGGGAAGAGGGACCGAAGTGATCCTCCACCCCCATTGTCTTTGCAAAGACAGCAGGGGTGAGGGATCGCTTGGGGCCCCCTCCCCTCCTTCAGTCCTCGAAAATGTGTAAATATATGATGTGGGCCTCATACTGAAAAGTTTGGAGACCCCTAGTACAGTATAGGGTATGAAAACAAACGGGGGAGTTGTTATGGGAACTGGGTATATGTAGTTGGGAGATGACAATACAGTATCATAGGACTTTCACATGAACACTTCCATGTGACAACTGTCACTCCAGAGGGCAGAACTGAAAGTAAGGGATTCAAATTGCAAAAAAATAGAATTCCAACCTGATATTAGGAAGAGTGGTCCAAGAGGGCAAACAGTTAGTTACCTTGGTGGATTATATTTTGGGTTGTCACAGAGATTGGAGGGCAATGGGTCAGGGATGTGCTAGCTATGCATTTCTTGAACTGGCAGAGTGTGGGACTGCAAGAACTTTGGGATTCCTTCCAACTCCACAGTTCAAAGCCCTTTGTGACATTTAACAGCATTTGAATACTATTCGAAAAACTGAGATATTTGTTCAGGTAGTTGTTCTGCAGCTACAAAGTCTTGTCCACTTCATGATAATTCCCCAACACATATTCATTTTTTTAAAAATCCAGATCCATTATGTTTTTTGGTTAGGGTCATGCTAGGTTAAACAAAGCAGACAAACAAAGCACGGAGTTGAAGATTGCAGTTTGTTTAATGGAACAGCCTCTCAACAGCATGGGCTAGAATTTTTACATATAGCTGGTGAGTTGGACAGGATGTCCAACTGAGATGACCACAGTGTGAACACAAGTTACTAAGGAAGCCACATGGCAATGGTTTAAAAGCTTATTATGTGGCCACTTCCGCTTCATGACATATAAGATATTCAAAGTCACACGGGAAGCCTAGTAATACCACTCCATCACTATCAACAGCCTCTCAAGAATCCAGGGTTTTGGAGGAATGGAACTGAGAACTGAGCTTGGAAACTTTACTTTTTTGAACTACAATTCCTAGTCACTGGCCACGTTGGCTAGAGGATTCTGGAACTATCATCCAAAAAAGGAACTTTTCCACACTCTAGACAACACTAGGCTTATCACGTGGCTGGAGAATGCAAGATGGTTTACGTTCACAGTAACAACCATCACATGGTTAAGTATTTAAATAGCTATTGTGCCATTGCTGGTTTTCTGTGACCAACAGCATATACATCAGGTGGAGTCACAGTTTCAGAATACCTAGTGATTCCTGCTGATTAGCTCAATAAAGAGAGAAAAGAATTCGCCTGTAGGTTGATATATCAAACAGGCAGACACCAGCTGAGAACAGATGCTTCCCAGTTGATGGAACAAAAAGATTCAACAGCTTCGTATCTCATATACTCCCATAGAAAATCTTAACTGAAGGAGATACTGTATGGGCTCAGGACTAGCCTCTGGATTGTGCAATAATTCAAGACTCATTATAGCTGAGATTCAGCAAAGCCTAAGCACAGGTTTTATAGCTCAATAAATGGGTGTCCTCTCCCTGGGAATTCTCAGCGTGCAATGGGATTCCAAAATTCATATTTATGCCCCCACTGCAAAAGAGGTACAGCTTTAGAGCTTTAGTGCAACCAACTGGGATGAAGGGACCCTTCCCAGATTGCTTAATTCTAGAGTGAAAGAGTTTGCTCTTGATCCCAGACTCCACCCTTGAGGCTCTTGCTATGCCTCGTCTAGTGGCTCTGGCCCGAAACTGGAGATCTACTTGAGCAGCATTTCAAACACTTCAGCTCTCCTGTGAACCCTCTTGCCGCAGGGACACAGAACCAGCAGGGACCACATCAACCAGCTTTGTTGATTAATCATGTACAAGGACTGCCAAGTTCTTCTGGATCCAGATCAGCTGTCTTGTTCTCTCTCAGACAGTAGATCACCAACTCCAGTAAACTTTAGCTCCTTATTGTCAACAGTAACAGAGCTTTGGCTGGAACCAAGAACTTCTGAAGAGAAAGCATGGGCGTGAAAGCCATCTTCCCTGGCTGAAATAGCACTCCCATTCACATGGGTCTCCAGATGCTTCAGCAGCTGCTTTGGGTTTCTTCTGGCAAGCACCTCCAGTTCTGCAAAGGAAAAAAAAAAGACAAAGAACTGCTGGAGAGCTCAGTGGCTTAGATATCTGGCTGTGGAGCTAAAGGTTGGGAGTTCGATTCCCCAGTGGGTCTCCTTGACAGGAGCTGGACTTGACGATTCAAGGGACCCTTCCAGCTCTGCAGTTCTAAGAGTATTATTATTGCGCAATACCTAGTTATCAATCCATCACCTGAGCTCAAAAGAGAATAGCCACTCTTCCTAGGCATATTTGGGACCTTCTTGTTAAGAAAAGAAAGATGACATGGTGGGAACAGGATACGGTACAGGATATGACACAGAGTTGTATAAATGCATGCATTGTTTGAGGAAAGCACATAGAGGATAAAATCCTGTTGCATAGTTTGCATGCACAACAGTGATTTGCATCAACAGTGGCAAATTGCCTCTGCTTTAAAGACTTTCTTTGGGGATTTTGGGGTGCATACAACTTCCTCACAATGCGTATGAGTTGCATACACTCCCAAAATGCCCTTTAACCAGCATCAATTTGTCTTTAATTACCAGCAATGTACCACTGATGATGACATTATCATCACTACGTACACATGCAGAACTGCACAACAGGATTTCAGCCAGAGAGCATTAGGAAGGGGCAGAGAATTTCTCTTCCCTTCTTGGATTGCATTGCAATTGACGGTTTTGGGGTTGCACATGATATACAGGTATCTGTTTACAGTGAAGCATAGAATAAAATAAAATAGTCACTTTTAATGTTCCTGCAATTTGTTCAGACTGTAAACAGCAATGATCAAGAAAATATTCTGCAGGCTCATGACTGAATCTCACAAATGCTGACAGATGCAGCATTTGGCAACATTTTGCTTTTCCAGAACGAATAAATATGCAAACATTTATTTCTATAAATGGCAAAAAGGAAAAATTAGAAACATTACTGGTCTCAGTCTTTATAGATCCCTATTTCCCTACATTAAACCTAGAAACAGCCTCCAGTTATGCAAATTACATGAATGCTATTTTATTTAATTTAGGTTTATGTGCTTGATGAAAAAACACTGACTGGCTCAGATATGATTGCAATCACAAACTGCTATCATGCTTTTAAAATCCAGTTGCTCCCCCCATTAACCTCATAACACTTCAGTACCATTCTGACTCAGATATGATTGCAAACTGGTATCATACTTTTAAAATCCAGTTACTCCTCCCACTTAACCTCATAACACTTCAGTACCATTCTGGCATAAGGCTCACTTCTCCTGATGTAGCAGTAGCTAAGATATTAACTGTCTGGGAACCTGAGTTTATAATAACCTGTACACCTTAATCCCCCCCAACTGTTTGGTCAGAGGAGAACATTGGCCATCAATGTGCCTGTCCAAGAATGAATAACCCCAATTTTAACTGCTGCACCCAAGTAAAATTGGGGGAGTTAGTCTCTCTGTAAAAGTATTGCCACAGATGGAACAAGCAATGATTATATCACACTCTTGTGTCAAGAAGATTAAAGCACCCCACCTTTTAGAACAAAACCAGAGTCAGAAATGGTCTTCTTTTGTGTCTTCCAGATGTTGAATAGGCGTAAAAACACAGCCACATATAAATCATTTAGCACTGCAATGACCTGCTGTCTGCGATTGCACTCCCTGAAAGTGATAAATCATAACATAGTTATTCGCAGCTTCAATATCCTCTCACTTGAACTTACCAATAGACAGGAGGACAAAGAATTCAAGAGAAGAGACAGCGCTCAGAGCTTCCTAGCTTGACCACAGGCAGTGGTTTTATATCAAGGCAATTGGCCTATTTAGCTCAGGATAATTTACATCATGGGTGGGTACTGGAATGGCTGGAGGCCATTCACAGAATCATCGTATGGTTGAAAGGGACCTTGGAGGGCTCCTAGTCCAACCCCTGCCCATTCCCCACCCCTGTGCAAAAAAAGAAAACCAGAGAAGAAGTAGGGATTCTGGCTTGCAAATCCCAAATAAGCCAGGAATCACAAACTAAGAACAAGAGCTGGCTTGCAATTTTGGCTTGTAGGGAATCAAAAACCTAAATCAACAATTTAGGTGACATAATAACAAGGATCACCAGTTCAGATGACATGGTGAACATGCCAGGGAGAGTTCATGTACATGCCTATTTCTGAAAGGGAGAAAAAAAGGCAACCTGGAAAATTAGTAAGCAGGTCAGCACCATCCAAGATCATCTCAGAAATAAATATGCCTTACTTTTTCACACTTAGACTTGGCTGTTTGAATCCTTCTCCCACAAATTTTTGAAAACTTCAAGATTGCTCCAGACTTGCTGTTGCATCCCTCGCGTGTGTGTGGATGGTGTCTTTTTTAGCCACATAAAGGTCCATATGCAGAAAATGAGTTTGCTATTAGTATACAGAATGTATGTTTGCACATGCAATGCAACACACACTATAAGATGAAAGGGTAGTATAAATCTACCCTATAGAGGGAAATATTAGATAAAAATTTAAAAGGCACAGTAGGACAGGTTAAGATTATAGTAGAGATGAAAAGTACAGGATAAGTCATAGAGGTGGATTATGTAAGAAAAGCTAAATTGTATTGATTATAAAGAGGCTAAATATGGGAATTGAATACAAGTATCTTACGACATAAAAAGACAAAATAAAATTGAAAAAGAAATGATGGAAATATGGGAAATTAATGATACTGATGTTAGTAATAAGAGCTTGATATGGAATACTCTGAAGACTGTAATAAGAAGATTATGTATAAAAGAAGGAAATATTAAATACTGTATTAGCAGAAATGCAAGCTAGGAAAAAAGAATTGCAAGATATTTAAATGGAAAAAAATCAGAAAATTTTAATATATTTGAAAAGAGAGTGTTTTGAGTTCAGCAATTAAAATCCGAAGATGTTGGCCAAAGCCACATAGTTAAAAATAAGAAACTAAGGATTTAATAGATGTAATCAAGAATGAAAATGGGGAAAAATGTAAATTAACAAAAGAAAAATTGGAGGTTTTAAACATTTTTTTAAAAATTATATATGGATAGAAAATTATCTTTGGATAGAGTAAAATAATACATGGAGAAAAATGTAGGGGAAAAATTGCAAGAAGCAGATAAAGATTTGATGGAACAGAAGGTTACAGATGATGAGAAAGAAGAGGTTATTAATAAATTAAAAATAGGGAAGACTCCAAGGCTAGAGGGACTTTGACTGGAATATTACAATTAATCGCAGCTCCAATATCCTGTCACTTGACCTTATCAATTAAGATTGCAATTAATCATGTAATTGTTTTATGCCATATTTTGATAGTAATAATGATGTTTTTATATGATTGTATTTTATGATGTTTTTATAACTGTTTGTAAGCCGCCCCGAGTAGACTCTGTCTAGAGGGCCGGGGTAGAAATAAAAGAATAAAAGAATAAAAGAATAAAAGAATAAATAAATAAATAAATAAATAAATAAATACAGACTTTTAAAAAAGATGTTAATAGCAAAATTGAAGTGGCTGTTCAATAGCAGAATGGAAGCAAGAGAAATCTCATTATCCTTTGATTTATATTCCTGCCTTGAGCAGGGGGTTCGACTCGATGGCCTTATAGGCCACTTCCAACTGAATTATTCTATCATGGTAATATTAATAGTGTTAATTACAAAAACCAAATAAGGATCTGACACATCCAGGTGCATATAGAGCTATGTCTCTAATAAATGGAGGTGCCAAGATTTTTACAGCAATATTGGATAAAAGAATGAATAGTTTTATTGATAGATATATTAAAGTGGATCAAGGCAGTTTCATAGCTGGAAGGCAGATGGCAGATTTAACTAGAAGGATATTTATTAGATATAATATATGTTATAAGCAAAGCAAAATATAAAAGCTGGACTGATTGCATTAGATTTTTTGAAAGCTTTAGACTGTGTGGAATGGGCAGCAATAAAAATGCTGATAAAGATATTAGGATTTGGACACCAATTTAAAAGTACAGTAAATCAGTTATATTTGGGAAATGTTGAATCATGTCAAAGAATGATGCAATAACACAGCAGTTAATCCTAGGCCGAGGAACCAGACAGGGATGTCCCCTCTCTCCAATTATTATTCACATGAATTATAAAGTTGCTAATGAATATTAGGAAAGATAATTTAATAAAAGGTGTAAGTTTTAAAGATGGAACTAGAATCAGTTTGTTTGCTAATGACACATTATTCATGACACAAGATCCAGATAGGGTGATGGATTGGGTGAGAATGCATTTGAAGGAATTTGGAGAAATAACAGGTCTACAAATAAATTTGCATAAATCAGAGATGATCCTATATAACTGTGATAAGGAAGAGAAGGAGAGGATTAGGACTACATTTGGAATTAAAATATATTCTGTTATCAAATATTTAGGTATAAATGTCATATAAATATTTAAACATATAATATTTAAAAGAAGAAAATTTTGATCAATTAAAACAAGAAATGTAAGATAAATTAAAGACTGCCGCCCAGAGTAGACCTTTGGTCTAGATGGGCGGGGTATAAATCTAAATAAATAAATAAGTAAATAAATAAATAATTTTAGGAAAACTGAATTACTATGGTTTGGTAGAATAGCAGCATGTAAAATAAAGATTTTACCTGAAATTATTTTTTTTGTTTACGATCTCACCAATTAAGATATCAGAAGAAGAACTAAAAGATGGCAAAATCTGATTAATAAATGCTGTAATAGAGATAGAAAATCAAGAATTAATTTAAAAAGATGGTACAGACCACAAAAATAGGGGGACTGGGACTTACTGATATAAAGTGTTATTATATAGCTAGTTATATGGTGATATATATGAGATATATGGTGGATATTATAACACAACCTGATAAATTAATGTCGGTAAAGTCAGAATTTTGAGAAGTGTAAGGAGCTTTCAAAAATATTCTTTTAAAATAAAACATGACCCTCATTAAAAAAAATAGAAAAGCCAATTTTTAGAAATATATTGCAAATTTAGAATAAGTTTAAGAAAATATTTATTCTCTCAATCTCTCCCTTACATCCCAGGAGTAGAATTTTAGAAATTCCCATTTAATTTAAATGAGAATTTGGAGCAAATATTAATGAAAAAACAAGCTAGCAGATTTAAAGTTTGGATGGAGAAGATGAGGGATAAAGAGCAAATAAGATTAGTATTGGAAGGGGGAAAATATCTTGGCTTAACTTGATCCAACTTGAACAGTGGACTAAATAATGCGTGGGGGGAAATGGGAAATGCAGGGATCTTAAGAAATTTGAAGAGACGGTTCTACTAAGGCAAAAACAAGGTAAGTTATTAAATTTATAAGATGCTAATAGAAGTGGAAGACCAACACGACATGCTTGAGGCATCGTGGGAAATGGATTTGGAAAGGGAAATAAGTATTGAAACATAGGAAAATATTTGGGGTAAAATAATATTAAAATGTATGTCACTAACAATAAAAGATAATTCTTATAAACTAGTTTGGAAATGGTATTTAACACTGGTAAAATTAAATTATATGGATGGTAAATTTTCAGATTTATGTTGGAGATGCAATACTTGTGTAGGTACTGATTTTCATATGTGGGGGGGAAGTAAAATGTAATGAAATTTTGGGAGCTGGATTTTGAAGAAATTAATGAAATACTAGTAGAATTAAATGTAGACCATATCCCGAGAATAGAGTTGTTATCAATATTTGATAAGGAACAATGGAATTAGAATGAAAAAAAGTTAATAATGAATTTGGTATGAGAAACAAGATTAATTATAGCTAAAAATCAGAAATGAAAGCATGATTTTCAATTAAATGGTATAAAGATGATTGATCAATCTTTATTACGGTCACTGACCAGCAGAGAAGAAGTATAAAATATAGGTAATAATGATAAACTATTGTGATATTAAGTTTAAAAAGAGTTTGATAAACAAAAATATCTGCAGAGATATTTTGGGAGTTTTTATTGACTATGTATTAATTAAAGGGAAGAGTGACGTTCCATCAAAAGAATGGTGGTGGTGGGGAAACTTTGTGTATATATGTATGCATTAAAAAACTATCTGCTAGCTTTATATCTTTTTCATGTATTTTATATTCTTTAATAAATTTAAATTTTAAAAAATAGACTGGCAGAACTTGCTCCTGACATATCCGAGTTGGCTTCGACTTATTACTGCATTGTTTTTAAGGTGCTTGCAGAATGACCACTTTATAATTTGTTCCAGAATTTTCTCGTGGATTGATGTTCATAAGCAAAAGCTATTATCCATATTTAAAGGGAACAACCATCTTAAATATTGGCTGAAATCGTGCTGCGCCACATAAAAGAAAAGGTTGTCATCAGCCACAGCTATTACTCAGGAATTAAAAGTTTCTGATTCTTCCTCTCTCTCTCCTCTTCCAAGGTTCCCTTGGGGTACTTTGATTTCACAAAATCATCACAGTTGGGATGATTTTATTGACAGTCGGAATTTTCAGAAATAAAAATATTTTCCCCTGTCCCACAGCCCTCCCAATGTTGCCGTAAAATTGGAGGGGATTGGTGGGGGCAGGTTGGAAAATTTTAATTCCCCCAAAACGGCCATGAATCATTACATCCCTAGTCTTAGATGACATCAGGTTACACAACAGAATTTTAGCCAGTGTCTATATCTTCATTCTTACTTCACCCACATGTATGAGTCAAGACAACCTTAAAAATAAACATGACCGCCTTTTACTTGCAGTCCTGCTATTTAAGATTCCCATTCACTGATCAATCTAATTAATTTAGCCAACTGATCTGTTAGTTAAAGCTGGCAGCCATGACTCTACCGTAACCATAGAATTCAATCGCACAAGGAGAGAGCCAGAATAAACTTACCTAGAAAGGCGTTCTTCCCTCAGCACCTGGATTACAATACGTGTAATATTGATAGACATCACACAGAATGGGAAATTCTGTAAAGAAAGCTGAATATGTCAGAAGAGTGTGTCTATCCTTAATTAACTTGAAATTCAATTCATTTTACTTGACTATAGCCAGATGTGGATCAGAAAACATTTTGAACAGGTTTGAGTTTTGTCGTCGTCATCTGATATTTAAAGTGAACCAAATACAAATGCAGATTTTTTTGATGTTCTGCTACTAGATAGATACAGAATCTTTCTTACAGATCTGTGTTTTACTTGTTGCTTTCATATAATCCTAGTTGAATCTGAACATAAATGACCTTACTGACCCACATCATGAAAAGTTGGCTGTCAATATGACGTTGGATTACAACTCCCATCAGCCAGCATAGCTCATGGCAAGGGATGATGGGAGCTGCATTCCAACACAATCTGGAAAGCCACAATTTTCCTATCTTCATTTTTAAGCCATCACATTAAAAGATATCTGAGTAACCTACAACATGCAATAAATCAATTCAAAATGTAGTAACACTGAAAACAATAAAAATAGAAACACAGCATAAAAACACAAACCACAGAATGTACAAGAAAGCAAGTCTGACATCCAATTCTTGCATTACTGTGCCTGTTATCTGCCTTTTGCACCTCTGAGAGCTATATCTCTGGAACTTGAACTCTCTGTCCCATCCTGAACTCTCTGACAATCACCACACCCTAACTTGTCATCAAGTCAATTTCCACTTAGGGTGACATCTCTGACACTTGAACTCTTTGTCCCATCCTGAACTCTCTGACTGACAATCACCACACCCTAACCTGTCATCAAGTCAATTTCCACTTAGGGTGACCCTTTCCAGAGTTGTCCAAGTATAGTGTACTCAGAAGTGGTTTATAAATCTCTTCTTCTGGGGGTATTTAAGACTGTACAGCTTGCCAACAGCTACAACAGGCTGTCCCTTTTCCCAAAAAGCACAGTCAGGAACTGAATCTCGGGTTTCCTGCTCTACCTCGTACAGTATATCTAACTCACCAAGCTATTCAGCTACCATGAACCACATAATTTAATGCCAGTTGGGTCTTGTTACTACTAGCATGAATTTGCAGTAGAGTAAGAGGTAGGCCAAAGGAGATCAGCTAAACACACACACACGCTGTCAAAATCCTTCATAGTTCTCATTATTGATGATTCTTGAAAAGACTGCTTCTCCCTAAGCCCTCTTGGCCTTGATTTATAATCTGCATGGAGAGACATGCTATGCACCAACAAAAGCAGGCATCTTCTCTGTTATGATCTGAGGACTTGCCTCCCTACAGAAATGTGACTGTTGCTCACTTTATTACCTTTCCAGTGATATGTTAAAATATTTTTATTTAGGCATATTAGCTGGTTAATTTTTTTTTTAAAAAAATCAGTTTTAAATTGTTTTAAAGTTAATTTTGCCTCTCTTGCAATCTATCTATCTATCTATCTATCTAGTATGTTAAAATATTTTTATTTAAGCATATTAGCTGGTTAATTTTTTAAAAAAAAATCAGTTTTAAATTGTTTTAATTTTGCCTCTCTTGCTATCTATCTATCTATCTATCTATCTATCTATCTATCTATCTATCTATCTATCTATCTATCTATCTATCCATCCATCCATCCATCCATCCATCCATCCATCCATCCATCCATCCATTCTCTTTTAAAAAGGCCCTCTAGAATCGTATGACAACACTCAGATCTTGCTTTGCACTGTGCCCTGAGATCTTTGGATGTAGGATAGTTCAAAAATGTACTGATCATAATTTCTCCTCAACATTGCTAAGATTCCTTTATTGTAAATTATATAGTAAATGTCCACCTTGAAAAACACTGTAAAAGTGAAGCAGCTGCCTAGCTTCCTAACACGAGAACCTAAAAGATGAATGGGACAGTTCGCTGAGATGTCAATGGTGCATTTTCTGGCCTTCCAACTGCTCTGGTAGGACAGATTTCAGCACACACTTTTCTGCATAGCAGAAGCATTAGTCACATTTCAGCATCTTATTATACATTTGCTTTTAGGTCTGTTTACCAGCAGTACCCTTGAAGCAACTGTTGGAAAAGGTTACCAGTAAGATTAAAATGTCTTTTCTTTTTTGTTGCCAATTGTTTATTGACGTATTTTTCTATTATAAAAGGAAAGACGGATAGTAATGGGTTAACAACAAAAGCGCACACAAATACGTGCACATAAGCTAGAATTACCAACGAACAGGATTGCAACCACACCCAGTTCATTCCATTTATTATTAGGTGCCATCTCATCTCTTCCAACTTACAGCAACCCTATGAATTAACTATCTCCAAAAGATCCTGTACGGAATCATTTCATTTCATGTTTGGCCTTCCTCTTTTCCTACTGCCTTCCACTTTTTTTTACAGCATGATCGTCTTTCTCAGTGAGCCTTTCCACAATCTGCCCAAAGCTTCCGCTTACTGATTTTAGCTTCTACTGAAAAAGCAGAATCAAAATCTACAAGATCTAGAACCTACTTGTCTTGCTGATGTTCCACAGTGTTTATAAAGCTGTCCTCTAACACTACATTCTGAACAAATCAGTATTTTTCCTATCAAGCCATCTTCACTGTTCACCTTCACTTCCATATACTTCAGTGTCAATAATCTTGGCCTTCATCTGCAGCAACACACCTTTCGTTTCTAGTTCCTTCACAGCTGCGTTTTAAAGTCTCAGTCTTCCTCTGATTCCTCTGTATCGATTGATGACTGAACCAAGGTACAGAAAATTTTCAACTATTTTGATTTATTCAGAGTCAACATTAAGGTAATTTTAGAAGAGGTAGCCATGCTAGTCTGTGCTAGCCTATCAGGCCAAAACCAAAAAAACTTTTTTAAAAAGACAAAAACATTGTGGTATCTTAAAGACGAACTGATATACTTAATGTGAGTTTTCATGGACAAGTCCACCTATTCGAACTCAGGAAGTGTCTGAGGAAAAGTGCAGGACATCATTCCAGAGTGCAGGACACAGAATAATGGGCTCAAGCTACAAGTAGCCAGATTTAGGATGGATATCAAGAAAAACCTCATAACCGTTAGGGCAGTACGACAGTAGAACCAGTTACCTTGGGAGGTGGTGAGCATGCTAATAATGGAGGCCTTCAAGAGTAAATTGGACAACAATCTGTCAGACTGGCTTTGACTTTAATTCCTGCACAGAGCAAGGGGTTAAACTTGATAGCCTTATAAGCCTCTTCCAACTCCATTATTCTATGATTCTATGAAGTAGACTGTCCATGAAAGCTCACATTAAAATATAGCAGTTGGTCTTTGTTTTATTTTTATGTATTTATTCAATTTCTATACCACCCATCTGACTGATGGTCAGTCAAGGAGGTGCCCAAATTTTTACAGTGGCACAACAATTTTTCCCTTATTTTTTATTTATCTTTTGCTTTATTTTGGCCAGAAACAATACGGTAATACTATTCTTCTGTATTCCTGCTTTTGTATTTTCTTCTTTAACTTCTTAATAGTTGTTTCAAATCAGTTGTTTTTTGCCAATTAGTGTGGTGTTATATGCACATCTTAAATTACTGACATTTTTCAATCAATTTTCACTTCTATTTCATCTGAATCCAATCCAGTTTTTTGCATGCTATATAGACTAAACAGATTAGAACCCAAAACACCCATGCCTGGTACCACTGCAAGTCAGAAACTATTCTATTTCTCCATATGCTGCCTAGCAGTAGCTTAAAGAATAGGTTATTAATATAATAAAATGTGGCATGACCATTTCTTTGGAACAATCCATGGCTTTGGAACAATCTTGTAGCCTTAAATGGGTCTCTTGATAGCTCATCTATTCCTGGTGATTTATATTTTCAAAGTGCTTTGAGAGCAGATTTCACTTTACTTTTTAATACTGCACATTTCCCTTCAAAGACATCTTCTTCAAGGAATGTCATCCTCGTATTCCTTCAGTATTTTATTTTTAACTTAAACTTGTCAATTTCCTTCCCAGTCTTTCAGCATCCCTAAACTTGGTTTTCTCCCACATAAAAGCTTCAGTTTCCTCTTCTTCAGTACACATAAAGGGAGAACAGACTTGAATGGGGCTTATGTTGATAATGGCTATTACTTGGTCAGACTTTGCTTGGCTGTTATAGCCAAACCATTTCTTCTGAGTTTGCAACTACTTGATTGAAAATTATACTTTGTAATTATCTGATTTAAAATGTCCTGATTTTGTTTTGGTTTATGTCCCCATATTCCATATCCTAATTATATTTGTTATGCAGGTTTAGATTTTCCTTTTGCATTTGTGTACCTGAACAACTTGACATCCTTTAATCTTTAATCCAGTTGGTTGTTGTGGGTTTTTCGGGCTCTTTGGCCGTGTCCTGAAGGTTGTTCTTCCTAACATTTTGACAGTCTCTGTGGCCGGCATCTTCAGAAGACAGCACTCTGTGCTCTGGTGTAGTAGGCTTGGGAGTGCACTATTTATGGCTTTTGTCTTTTTCTGTAGATCGGTGATTAGTGTGTCTTGTTGGGGGTGTATTGCTGTGCTAAGGAGAAGAGATTATCCATCCCTGTGGTTGATGTGTGTCATTAGCTGGTCTTTTGTGTGTAGTGATCCCCTGTCCTTGTGGCTGGGTAGAGTTCATTGACCTTTTGCACGCTGTATTTTTGAGAGCTGGGAGCCAAGTTTTGTTGAGCTTCACACTTTCCTCTTATAATAACAAAGTAAATGAAAGCCTTTGATTTATGAAAAACCTCGTTAAAATGAAGAAGAAATGAGAGTGAAAATATTTGACCGAAAGGAGATAACAGCAACGTATCTGGCTTGCCAGCTCGCGCCTCAAAACGAAAGGAAACTTGACTTTTAAACAGCAAGCTGGTTCAAGGTCGAACTGAGAGAACAGTGAGACAGAAATACAGTGGGGTCTTGACTTGAGAACTTAATCCATATTGGAAGGCGGTTCTCAAGTCAAAAAGTCTGTAAGTCAAGTCTCCATTGACCTACAGTGCATTGAAAACCGATTAATCCCGTAAC